TGTTTGTGAGTAATTGACCTGTCATTACGCTGCAAATGGTTTTGCTTATAATCAAATTTCAAAGGGAGAGATGTTTGAGAGAATTACATCAGTTCTCATAATTTTTCAGATCATCAGAATAAACCTCTCAGATAAAAAACATTGTTGCATTTTTTTGAAAAACAAATAATGGGAGGAAAATAACCCACAGCCACCAATTCCCTTCCATTCAGTGATGAGGAACCTTTCCAGGGATCTAAATTAAAGCTGATGGCCATAGAAGCCTTGTAATCACTCTTACTGTCAATTTGCTGTAAAGACAAAGGGGAGTCGAGGAGCAGATGTGTGCCAGAATACCTTAGGATGATTTCTTAATAGCTTTATAAATCCATTCATGCATCACAGGCATACCAGCAGCACTGACAGGCCGCTGCCAGGCGAGACGCCACAGGCCCTTTAAGCTGCATGTCACAAATAAAGTTATTTGGCTCACATATTTTTCTTTGTCACTATTTTTATCTGTGCCGCTGTGGCAACAACAAGGCTGTTGCTACAGCCCATAGATGTCAGTTTTAATTCTTACTAAGCAGAGTAAAAGAAATGTGAAATGGTGATCAAATTAACTGTGTTGGATTTGTGAATCCTTTGAGGTCTAAAAACAATCATAAGTGGTAAAACGTGTTCATTTTAAAAGGAAGAACTGAGAATGTTTTCAGATATTAAATGTTAATTTGGAATTTAACTGTAAAAAGAGCAACAAATAAGAGTCTTCCTTTGCAATAAAACCGCAGATTTATCTCACTAGTAATTAAAGGTACATGGTAACATTTCTGTGAGGAGCTATGAGGTGTTTTTATTTTTCATTCGGTAGATAGCTACAAAAGTATTGATACGCCTTCAACTTTTTCACATTGTCAACCTCAACAATGAGCAATGCTTTGTTTTCTTTCCATATCACTCAGATTTGTGAATGGAATGAGCAATAACTGCTTTAGACTGCTTGAACTGCTTTTACATGTCAATATTTTTACAACGCAATGGTTTAAACAACAACTTCTGAACATAAAACTGCAAATAGTTTCATATTTTCATCAAGCTGAAATAAAACTTAGTTGCATGTTGCACGATGGCTGCCTCATAGCTAGAAGGTGACAAGAAGGTGCCTATGTGAGGTTTTTCTTTTCCTCAAATGAAATATTATCTATGTATTAGGTTAAATAGTAAAGTTATCCATAGGTGAGAGCAGAAATTCTATTTCAAAATATTGACTGTGGTCCTAAAAAGAGCTTACAGGCCAGCAAAGCTAAGAAACTGCTGACCCTATGTAATAGTTGTTTCGGTCCTTGGTTAGCCTCTCATAACGTCTCACCTCCAGAGGGACTCGGTCAGAGTGCTTGGCTGGCTGTACCTCACAGCTGTGCCCATGCACATTCTCGGTTAATTACAGGAGCTCTGCACATTCAGCAGGTTCCCCCCACTGTTACTCTGAAAGGTGAGCAATCGAAGCCGCAGAGCACCCGTCATCAGCTGCTTGTTGCTGGAGTCTCATAAAAAGCTTCTACTCTGGATTAAAAAGCCTTTGCACAAACAAAAACAGACATTTAATTTAAATAACTAATAGTGCAAAGATGCTTAATCAACCATACAAGTTCAACATGGCAATTATTCATTTTCATAAATTACGAAATGACATTCAATATTAGCATTCCTCTTCATCTCCTCAAGAGTAATCAGATAGTCTCTGCGAAGCCAACGTTGGTCTTTAAGGATCAATGATGAATGAATGCTAATAACTGAATCTGTCAGCTTGTGTAGAAAAACTAAAAGGATCTATTTATGATCCTTCTCCTAATTAAAGTACATAAAAAAGCAACTTCATGTGTTCCTCAATCAGCCTGAGGAAACAAAGTCGATTCACAAATCTAAAGTCAAACAGACTTTATGTACAACTGACAAGATTTTTTAATCTAAAGATAAAAAGAAAATATGTACATGCAAATAAATGTTAACCTTATTATTAGCATTATTTTTAGTTTTATATTTAGCAGCAGCAGTAGAAGTAGTAGTACATAAAAACCAGTTTGAAATATGCCCTTAATTAAAGTATTTTACACTCTGATTCAACTTCAAGTACTAAACATTTACTTTACTGTGTTTTTACCAGGCGACAGAATATTGTAAGATGCCTTAATTGGTTTTAAAATATGGTAGTAAGAGTTCATAGTGCAGTATGATTAAAGTTCTTCATGTGAAGCTCTGCAAGAAGTTGCTTCTTAGCACATCTGCTGTATATAAGCTGATTTTTTTGCAAGTCATATAGACAATCCAGACCATTCTAAAGATTGCAAACATTTGGCTAAAAGTTAGCAAATCCAAAAGCATGTCCAAAAGCCTTCTTCACACAACTTCAAATGACTTGAAGTCTAAAACACTGCCAACTTAAATACTGGATGCTCTGAAATATCTCAGTTTTACTGAGTGTCTCAAATTCTGCAATTGATGGACAATCAAAAAACTGTAAAGCAATAATGCTAATTGTCAGACAATTTACCATGGTAATTATCACAAATAATAACACTTACTTAAGCATGCAGACAAGGACTTGCCAGGCTGCATTGTTCCAAGTCTAAAATTTGGTGGCGGGAGAGTAATGAAGTTATCTTCTAAGGTTCCTAACTCTCCATGGAAGAAGCTCCTAATGCTGCCAAATATTAATATATTTTTAGACCAATTTATGCTCAGCTCCAATTTACAGCATAACCAGCTTAAAGAAAATATTTTAACAACATATTAAAGTTTAGGTGTAGAAACAGTCTCAGTGTTTTGGCCAGTTCCCATTTTTTCCTGGTATAGCCAATAGAAAAGGGTGATCATCACAGTTTTCATAAGCTGGGAAATACAAGAGAATGCACTGGATGCTTTAACCAAGCATCTAATTTCTGTATGTTGAAAAAGGACTTCACAGAAATCTAATTGTCTTTCCTTTATGTCATAGATTTCAGGAATGTGAAGAGGAACAGAAAAAATTGTTTCAACCACCACCTATTTAAAAAAAATAATAATAATTTAGGCCTATGGCTATGTCAAGTCCAATAAAACTGGGAAGGCTTTGACTATAAGTGCACTATGTTTCTTCAAGAATAGCATCACTAAAGTCACAAACTCCAAATCTAATATGCCTGAAAGTAAATCAACGTTACAACATGCACTGAGAAGCACCCTAAAAGATGATAAGACATACATCTGCACTGACAAAATTCAGATGTATGCATTGTATCTAACAAATAGATAACTATAAACTCAACAACATGCACAAACATAAATTAGCCCGTCATCCTGCCCATCTTCCCATCTGCAGCAATAAGATGTCTAAATGGCTCATATTTGGTTCTCTGACCAACCTAAGACAAGATTTCCACCATAAAGTCAAGCAAATGTATCTCAACACAGAAATGTGACAGCCATATCCATGGAAAGTGGAAAAAGTGGGATTGAGAGCAGCTCTATGCTGCCTGGGCAACTTATCACTGTCATCACACAAAACTGCTGCAGATAAATCACCCTGATTTACCAGGAACTATCTGGGGACCAATGCCCATGAAGAAATATGGGATGAGGGGAGAGATGGAGGAATATAAAGCCTTGACAGGAGGGAGAGATTTGCCAGAAGGGCAAACACATCCTTGGAAAGTAGCCAACCTGAAATAAATCATAAAAGAATGGTACAAGATTTTATGCAAGGCAGTGGCTGTCTGCTATATGATGCCATCAGAGAAACATGAACTGTCTGACCTTGGAGAACATGGATTGTGCCTCTTCTGACCCATCGATGATATCACACAGCTGGGTATCTTTAGTTTGCTGCATGCAGGAAAATAAGTAAATAAACTTCCAGTCTTTGCACAAAACATCTGGCAGTCACAAACAAGTCTTTGAAGAGCTCCTGTTTTCTGATTTCTCTTGTTTTTTTCATAACAGTCTATCACACATATCTAAGCTTTGCATTGATTGATGCCGTTGGGCTCTCTGCTGTTTGATCTCCTACAAAGCTTGTCAGACATGGAGTTTGTGTGAAAGGAAGAAATGTAGAAAGACTGGAATCCTTTCCTGGAAGAGTGTTTTCAGTTTCCCGATAAGTCTTCCTGTCAAATTCTTCAACAGAGAAAGGAAAGTTGTACAGAATTAATGGAAAAATGTTCTTAAAGGTCCAAATTCTCCTTCTAGAAGGACAACAATCCTAAACAGCTACAATGAAGATCAAGGTTTGCAAACTTTTATTTAAGTATCTGCTTAGGACAGAAAATGTAGCTGTTTGGTTCAGTGGAATTGGACAAGGCTTATGCATGAACAAGTTGCTGATCAACAATTGATGAGAAGCGTTTGAGGTTCCTATTTTAGATCCAATCATGATCATGTGCTAAAATGACAATCCTAGGTGATTACATAGAATGCAACTAAACAGGAAAGTTCAAGTTCATAAACTTTGGTGGGAGGTGAAAAGTCTTCAAGAAACAAAATAAGTCCAGTTGCCTTCTGCCTCGGCCACAGGATGTATCAACATCTGGAAATTGATCCCATTTATGAAGCAGACTTGTACAGCTCCACAATCCTCGACTTTCCAATCGTGTCAAACAATAAAGTATTATTTTCCAGGTGTGCCTCCGAATTAGTTAATATAAGTTAACCTATCAGATGACTCCTTAGCCACGACATCATCATCCGGTATTCCAGTTGCTCTAAAGGATCATTCTGTAGACATTAATAAATACATCTTTGAGATATTTGTTATTGTCGCATTTAGCTGCTAGGAACAGTTTTGGTTATTTTAATAGACCTACAACAAACGAAGTTTGGTGTAATACAATTTGAGACTGTGAGAAAATTTGTATTTCTACTCTGTGTATTTAAACATCAGGTATAAACTAAATGCATAAAATATTTTTTGGTTGAATTTGCTTCTCACATAAACAGCTATCTGGAGTTACAGACATCATACTTTATAAACATAAGCTGATTCAGACTGCTGCTGTATCTGCTTTATTAATGAAGACTTGACATGACAGAAATAACAATAAATGCATTTTTAATGTGTTTGGTTTGTACTGGTAGTATTCTCACATGCAATCACTGACAAATACTGTACATGTTTCATAATTAAAATGTAGACAAGAGAAACAATGACACTTAAGAGGAAGAAAAAAGACCTTAGCTTGATTAGTGAAATCAAACAATAGAAAATTGAATGTTACATATACTTGGTTTATTACGACAATCCGGGGTTGAGACAGAAATGACAACCAGTGTGCAAAACAAGGGCATTAATGTCATTTACTAAAGTGCAACTCTGTATCAAATCCATGTGTTTTTTCCAAAACAGGAATGTTAAGAGTATCAGAAAGTGTTTTGTCTCCCCCTTGTGGAACAAACAGAAAAATCACTTCTTACATCAGAATAATAATTTTTCATTCCACATTAATAGCATTAGTAATCCAATCGCATTGATAAATAAAGCTTTAAATTAGAGCACCTGAACATGAAAACGTTTTTTTGTTTTTTGTAAAAAAATGATGAAGGGGAGCTGAAAGGATGTCACATCAGACGATAGCAGGGCTAAATGTTGATGCTGACGTTCACTGAAAGGTGACCATCAACAAAGCACTGCAGGTGCTCTAAATGTTTGACAGGAACAAGAAGTGGAGTGGCTGCAGCAGCAGAAACGCTTAGAGTTGTTACTAAAAATAAAATGTACTACAAAGTGTATGTGATAGTTTCATCAGGGAAGAGTTACACAACCCACAACCCCTCACAGATTTGAGAACATAAATGAAGAAAATAACTCATTTAAGGAACTCAACGACAACTGAGAGCAGAGAAATATGCTGCCAAAATCCCCTCTTCTTGCATGCAAGTGTTTTGTGGTGTAATGTTTGTTTCTTGGTGTAGTTGTTGCAACAAGACTCCACAAACGCATGATCATGTTTATCGTTTTAGATTGAAGTATTGACAGCTCAAAACTAGGCAAGTAGCTGCTAAATGCAAAAATAATCAAAATGGGCATTTGATATGCAACAGGGAAAACAAGTATTGAGTATGTTTTTCTCAGTAAATCTATTTCTAATAGATGTATTGATATGAAATTCACAAAGTGGAATGACAGGTAAGCACTGGAAATAGGAAGAAAATGATGTCTAAACTTCTGAATGTTTCAATGTGTGCCACTGGGGGCATAATCTGGAAGTGGAAAGACAATAATTTCACCTTGAAATAAGTTGAGAGAAGTGATTTAAGAGACACACAGCATGTCAGAAAAAACACTCTCTGCACAAGACTCCTCTACTGAAGAAAAGGCATTTTGAAACCTGTTTAAAAGTTTAAAGAGCATTCACACAAGTCGATAAAATGCTACAATAAAATAGTCTGGTGAGATTAAAATATTAATCACAATATTTTGTAGCCGTAATGACAAAAACTCAGAATTCATCATCATTTTCAGCTATAAATCTATTAGACATATTTGCAAACACAAATAATGTTCACAATGTCATCTAGTTCCATTCAGTAATCCCACAGTGTTGATAAAACATATCCAGCAGAAGCATTAAATCATATTTTAAAACATAAAAGCAGCTTTTACAGCCCATCTCATGGAACTAAAAAAGGAGAGAAGATCCAACAGTAACAATCTCAACCATGCTGTCAATTGTTTCAGGATTTCCATCACAGTGCATCATTATTATCATCACTGAATAAACGATTGATTTCATGAGTAAACAGTATGATGAACTCCTATCCCTATCATTACACAGGCAGACTCCCTTTAATTGAAGGAAGGATAAATAGACGTCCTTGATAAGAATCTGAAAATGAAATGAGGGGTGGACTTTTAAACAAGAGAATCTCTCACTCTCACACATAGTCATGGGAAAATCACACAAGAGCAACAAATATTCTGGTGCGAATCTCTGGAAGATGTCATTATTGACAAAGAACTAAATAGAAAAGTTTCTTCAATGCTTATAACCTGTGCCATTCCACTTAACTCCATATAATTCATAGGCGTATTATGTTTTTATTTATCTGTGTGCATCACATAGCATCTGCTTTGAATTTCATGTCAACAGAATCTTTAAAAATGTATTCATGGAGAAAAACAGACATATTTAACACCTATTTTTCCCACTGTAAATCATCACATATGCAGCTGCTACTTTTAAAGAGAAAAAAAAAAACATGTTTCAGCATTTTCTTTTTTGTTTTGGTATGAAAACAAATTCAACTTCAGTGGCACCAACATCTATACATCTGCTATTATGAGATCCGTGGGAGATGATAAACTTTTATAACGCCGTTCTCTTAGATGGATCTTCAAAAGCCACCATCAACCTACCTAGCGTGTGGTTTCGTTTTGAGCTTTTCGTTTTGGTTCTGAGGATTTCTGTGTGTTAAATGATGCATTACGACACCATAACAGTGGTGATTTCCATTCACACAAGTTGTTTTACAACAAAACAAATCAAGAGATGAAATCTCAGGAACAAAAACTCCCTACATTCCCAGCAGTGCACTGCTCCAGTCCAAACAAGATTCGGCTTTAGCTGTAACTCGTGGTTAGGTAGTAAAACAGGTTACAAGACAAAGAAAAGAGCTTGTTATGTGAGAGCAACAAGTGGATCTCTGCGTCGTAAAAGTCAGACGACTTCCAAATTAGCTACGTTTGCTTTTTCTCCTGTTGTTCCAAAGCTCAAAGTCCAGCTCCTCCTGGCATTCCTAAATCCTTCAACCTTCACCGAAGTCTATAAAAATCCTTCTGTCTAAAAATCACTGAGGATGCTGATGTCGGCGAACTCCTGGCGGTATCTGTAAGAGTATAAAGCCAACAGGAAAGACCATTTGAGCATCAGGAAGCTCCAAACACAGGAAAGGTAGAGGGTCCGCGGGTCAGTCAGAGCTGTGGGAGAGAAACGACACCAAGCTTAGGGTTTGCTGGAGAGTCCACACTTTTATAACTGAAAAGTTACTGGATGTTTTAAATGTTGTTTGATGCCAAAAGAAGAGAATTACATTGTTTCTGTGTGATGGCCAGACTTAGAAAGGTAAAGGCGGCAGCGACAGCCAGAACTGAGAAGAGCACACCGACACCAATGAAGAATTTGAGGCCCTTGAGCCAGGTGCGCCAGTAATCCTGCAGGTACATGATGTGTGTGACCAGAACCCAAAACGCTAAAACCCCTGTCAGAAGAAACAAACACACACACGCTGGTTACATTTAGATACGACTGCAACAAATTGGTAGCAAAGTGTTCAAAAATCAAAAACTGCTATCATTAAAAACTTCTCATAGTTTTCAACAAGGAATAGGTTGGTCAGCTATGTGCCGGTATACCAAATATTAAAAACAATTCCAACTTAAAAGTTGTATGGTTTTGACTTTAATAAATATGTTTTGTTCTTTTTTGTTGTTGTTTTTCACAAAATGGCCTTTTTTGAGTCTGATTGCTCCCATTGATTACTAAGTTAATGATTATTTAAATAATCAATTAATCCTGATTAATGTTTCTGCCCTGACTGCAATTTTTTGTCGCTTATACAAAAGATAAATGTGGCAATTAAGCCATGTTGTGGAAATATGGCATTTTAGCAGTTTTATTTGACATATGTATCCTTTTGCTGGATACCAAATGCAAAATATCTTAAATTTTACTTAAAATGGATTTAAAACTACTGATGAGGACTATGCAAATGCAGGTATTGCAATAAACTTTGGAGATATTTTTAAAAAGAAAATTTGAACTACTTTTTAAACACTAAATTACACTCAGTCAACCAGCAGGTACACTTTAAGAGCTTTACTTAAACATTAAATTGCAAAGTTAATCCCATTTAATTTAGGTTAATCTATTTCAATGTTAAAATTGCATTCATCGTGCACAAACATAAGTGATAATTGACATTGAACAACATTTTGGTTCCCAAACTTAAAACAAAACCAAAATAAATGGAAACAATGAGCAACACAAACAAACAACTAAAATAAATTGTGCAGAGTATTTTATTAAATAATACAACATGGTTCAACTGTATGGAAATGAAACGGTTTTATTTAAAAAGCGAAATTAAACCCCAAATAAAAACATCTATAGCATTTTAACAAACTACAGTTTATCTCTAAACGTTGACTGGTGACAGATATAGTAGCGTTTTAAGTTCAGAAGGCCGCAGTCAGGACAAATACAGCCTTGAAGGGAAGGAACAAAAAACAAATAGGTGAAGAAATAATAGTTGGTTTTAATGATAACTATGGAGAATTTACGTACCCGACAGGCCTCCCATGGCCGCTGTCCATGGCTGTTTATAGGCGATATTCCAAACGAGGAAGGCTGAAAATCCAACCAGAGTACCGAAGCTAGCATAGCCTATGCTAATGTATATCCTACTGATTCCCATTGTAAAACTAAGCTAATGCTACCAACAGACCTGGACCGTCGAGTGGAATAAAAAGTTATTTTTAGTTGAAAACAAGTCGGAGCGATTCGGTTTTTGGCTCTGACCTACATCAACAGCTTACCGCCATATTATGTAATATTCTCAGCAACAGGGAAGCGACAAGATAGAAACCCCCCTCGGCTCGCAGCCAGGAGAACAATGGCGCCGAAAACACGCCGTTCATTTGCCTAACAGCTCGCCCCACACACACAGTTTACGTTAGAAGTAAACAAACCGCAAGGAAAAACTGCTTATTAAATCAATAACAAAGCGAAAAAATATTCGCGAAGTATTAAATTCCCATGGTCAGTAAGTACAATCTCTTACAACATATGAACCACTGGAATATTGACAGACACCCATCTCTTAAGTTTTAAACATCTTTGTTCGGAAGAACTGGCAAACACAGCGTGATGGCGCCCCTAGTGGAGAAAAGTAAAAGTTTTAGACACCAAGTTAGATGACGCAATTTAGTTTTTTGTGGCATTTCAGATTTAATTTAAGCGTTCCTCAATTTATGTCTCACTTCTCAGACTATATTGTCGACTAATTGAGATTTCTTTTTGTCTTTTCTCTAAATCTGGACTCCATGCACATCAAATGTGTGAACAACAAGCTGCAAACCTTTGATAAAGACAGCAAAACACACACACCAGCCAGGAACATTTTGGGTAATTTCTGCTCTGATTAGAGAGCTTCCTAGAATATTGTGCTTGAGAGCAAAATGATCCAATTGAATCTTTGGAAAATCTTTGTTTTTTATGTGAACAATCTGGTCCTGTCTGCTTCCAAAGATTAAGCAATTAAAATAGTAATCTGGTGTGGCATCCTAAAATGCATGTTATTACGTAATCCTTATAGAGTGTGCCCTGCAACTACACTGAAGCAGACAGGTGTGTCAACACCATGCCAAGACAAAAATACATCAACAAACATGTTACAGAATAAATTTTTACAACCCATCAATCTAGGAACATTTAAAGATCTTTTAAATCAATTTGAAGTCCACTATCCTTCAGTAATCACATATATTGACACATGGAAAATATTTAAGACGGTTGCTAAGTCTCCCAAGAGTAGAGATTTAGGGTCAGAGCACACAATGATCAGAGAAACAATAAAACCTGGAGCTAGTTTAGCATTTCACATGTTAAAATTCAAAAGAATACAATTAGAAACGTTTTACATAAGAATGGCTTGTTTGAAAGGATTGACAGAAAAGGTTGTCATTTAGATAGATTATTTAGATGTTTGGTGGAAATAAAATGCATCATATTAGTACAACACTCCTCTTTAAAGCATGGTGGTGGAAGGGTGATGAATTTAGATCATTTTTCAGCCACAAGACCACGTTATGATTCACTGTGGTCTTCTTTGTATTCTCGATTCAGATGTGAAGCCATCTCGATTCAGATGTGAAGATAAGTTTGAACTTATCTTCTCAGAGCCATCTAAGTTCTGAGAAGATAAGTTCAAACTGCGTCATGCAAAATATTATTAAATCTTGAAATGACTGAGAAATCCTGCCACAAAAAAGTGTTGGGCACAGATGACGTCTCTCAGAAAATGACTTCATAGGGCATAGAGCTGAAATCTGTATTGCCAGGTTAAAGTTCAAAGTCTTCCTGTGGTTTTTTGCAGCTCTTCTGCAGGCATCACTGAAGGAAACCACACAATTTAGTTGTAGCTGTTACGGGTGGTACCGTGTAAACGAAAGAGAAAAAAAAAGTTGCTTATTTTCAGACAGTAAGCTGTTCACACGCTCAATGCTGTGTGTCCGTGTTGCATTCAGCTCATGCCCTCTGGCGCTCGCTTCATGACCAATCAGAAAGATACAGGAAACCGTGTCCACTAACACTCCCCACCACTCACACAGACGACCCAGACGAGGAAATCATCCCAGACGGATGAAACAAGGAACGGCTAGAAAAAAGGAAAGCAGAGAACAAGTGTACCGAGGAGCCTTGCAGGTGGATGAATGTGGTAAGTTTCTGATTATGAGTGAAAGTGATGTAACTGACAGATTGTTTACTGTAATATTTTAGAAATAATTCTGATCTTTGTGCTAGAAATGTGTTTTATTCAAAATACAGTAAACCTTACATGGCCTGTGTATGTGAGGGTTTTGAAGCATTGTTTGCCATGTGCATAAAAGTTTCTTTCACAGCTGCTCCAAAGGTTAGAACTAAACCAATCATATTTTCAAAGTAATAAAGTTTTTGATGCTGCTATTTATTAATTTAACTATGCTTCTGGTCATCAGCAAGGCACTATAAATAAAAACCCTTTAAAGCACATGGCTAGGTTTGTGAACTGTTGTTACAATTATTCACTCCATTTGTTTTAATTTCTTCCCTTATATTGGCTTCACATTCTGCATCAGTCCTTATTTGACCACGAGGTCAAACAGATCAAATCTGTCTTTCCTTGTCGCTGCTAAGTGACAGGAGAAAGGAAGGAAAAAGGTGGACGTGTGTCACTGCATGCATGCATGTGTGTGTGTGTGTGTTAGTGCACACGTGTATATATGCGTGTGTGTGTGTTCAACAAAGATTGTTGGCAAAGTACATTCCATGGGCGTAGATGTGTTGCAGGAAATCCCACTCCCATTCCCAAAGGATTTAAATAGAAACACGGACTCACAAAAATAAATGGAAAGAGAAAGAGAGAAATAGACTTTGACTCAGATAGCAGACAAAACTGTGTGCTTAATTAAAGAACACAACTATAAATACCCAACATATGAATCTGAAATCTAATTCAATCAATACTAATAATACATACAGAATTTTTAAAAGTATTCAATACCTCACAAATTTCTTCTTTTTTTTTTCTTTTTTTAACCACAAATAAACAGATCATCATGTTTTATCCGCAGAAGAAGATTCATTTTAAAATATATCCCTTTATAAATCAGCTCCACATTTTTAGAAAACAACTACATTTAGATTGCAAAACCTGTAGAATCAGTTCAATAGAACCCGTCTGACAACAGGATGTGGGCAAAAAAAGAGAGAGCAAAACATCAAATCAAATTGAAACAAAAAATAAAGAACAAACAGAAAACTGAGATCTGTAGCCCAGAGATTGTTTCAAAGCCATTTCTGAAGCTTTGGGTCTTCTGGGGATGTGTGACAACCTGTAAAAGATAAGTTATGTGTGGATCAGGATTTTCTCTTCTTTCTCTTATCCATCTTTAAGCTGAAAAAAATGATCCAGTTCAACTTTACCAAGAAATTTGATGTCAGTACAGGAAGTGTTGGCATTAAGCAGGCAAACTTCGTTTTCTGTCTAATGTTAAGACACTTTCATAGTAACTCCTTCATGCACATAACTTTCTCCAAAGGTCCACATCAGCGTGACCTAATAGATCAGATGTTTATGGATAAATTCTGACTTCTGATCAGCAGAAATTGATAGAACATGAATCGTAGATGCGCATCTTCCCCAAAACACCTGCCGTTCACTTTCACATAAAATCTTGCTTCAAAAATCAAAGCAGTAAATTAAGATTTATGTAGAAATGACATCAAACACAGGAGGATATTTACAATTTGTTTGATCATCTGACGTATTTAAGGGTGAATAAAACATAAAGACAAATAACATACTATAAATTAAACACACGAGTGTAATTAAACACAAATGCAAAAATATTTATTATTCTGCTCACACACAGATAATCTTTAAATGTTCTGCTTTTTTCTACGCAAACTGCAAAACATCAGAGTTCTCAATAGAGGGCGCCATTTATTAAGAAAAAAGTTTTCTGAGAAGCAAAGCATTACAAACTTTGTATCACTACACAGCTCAGTAGGTCAAAAGCCACAATTTAATTTTGCTGCTTCATAATTAATAAGATTTTATACCAACCCCAAACCCAGAAATCATTTAGCTTCAAGGGAAGTTTTTCTGTTCTAATATTATCAGATTACTTTCCAACATGGAGCTTGTTTTAGATTCAGATCTTTGCTGTTTGAGTCACTGACATCAGACATTACTTTATAAGGTATAAGCTGCATGGAAATCAGACTAGACTCCAGACAGTCTGACATGATCATATTACTCTAATATGTCTTTTCTTATCAACTCAGACACTGTCGCCAGCATAAGAAGAAATCCCTTTTCGTCAGCTTACATAATGTGACATCACAGAGCTCCTGCAAGACATTTAAGAGGGATAGACTGATTTAGTCACAGCACAAACATTTTTCTATTTGATTTCTACATTTTGGATAAACTGCTAGGGCATCTTAGTGACCATTCAAAGGTCTAACCATTGAACTAACCCTAACCCTTTTCTTATATGTTAATGTTTATATCTATGCCTCATTGTGGATTTTAATGCATTTAGTCTTGAAATAAAAAAAAACGGCTGTAAAAACAGTGAGCATTTTCTGCACGCTGTGCAGAAATAATTTTCTGTACGCTTTCAAATCTGTCCTTCACCCACCACACGCTAATGGATTAATGCTTCTGGAAAGAAAGAGAAAAGTGCTGAGGTGAGCAACAGGTGCTGAGGTTTTTAATAACATAAACAACAGAGGCTGTTTAAATATGCTGCCCTCCTACATCTATCCAGGAGGGAAAAACGCAGACCCACGCACAGAAAAGCAGGACAGAATGGATGTTCTTGTGACTGAGCGCCTTGTGGAAAACCTTGGCAAACTGAACTGCCTCTGAGGTCAGCACAGGAAGGGCAGCCCCGCTCTGGAACAATGGCAGGGATTTAAACAATTCTTGCTTAACAGCCTGCAAGACAGAGTTGACTATGATCCAGTGCAAGGAAAATAAAATTACAGAAAGTGACCCTTTGTTTACAAATTTGTAGACTTAAGCTAGTGCATCACAGTGCAATTGAATGTCATCAAAAAGTTTATTTATTTGAATACTTCAGTTCAGCAAGTGAAACTCATAAAGACTAATTAGTGTTGATTTATTTATGTTGATGGTTATGTTTAAAAGTTAACAATTTGTTCTGTTATGCTGGATTACACAATCATTAAGAAGTCTGCTGACTTAGCAGTTATCTATAAGATATTCTAAAACTCCACAAGGAGGGTAAGCCACAAATTATTGCTAAAGCAGCTGGTTTTGTACATACAGTAGTACAAAACTATG